CTGTTTTGAAAAAAATATTTTAGGGATACCTATCAGTTAACTGGTATATGAATATACAACTGTTGTTATAAAAATGAAGTTTTATCTTAGAAGGATTTTATGATTGCAATGTTCCAGGCAGTAAAATTAGGAAAAGCCTTAGCCTTTCTCAAAATACTATGTCAATAGCTTATTACAAGTGAAACTTATGTCTATAATTTTGGCTGTTGTGATTTCAACAAAGATGTAAGCTGTAAGTTAGTTTTGCCAAAGACTGAAGGATTGCATGGTTCTCAATAAATTTTTATCATGTTTAACTTGGAGGGTTGCAATTTGAAAAAATTGTAGATCTATAAATTTTCACTGTCATCCACCTGTCTGTCCTTCCGTAATCTTCAGAACAGAGTTAGATAGATGAAATTCACAACCAGAAATGGAAAGTTTAGGGGCAGAAGGCCCAATTAACTATATATGAACTTTCAATGCAAGCCTGAAGTCACATTATTTCAATTCAAAACTTTTCCTCTAAAAGGAGTTAGATAGATGACCGGCATGACTATTGATAACAGGAAAATTACAGGGGTAAGACACTACTAATTTGAGGTGGTGAGCATATATTTTAAATTAAATAAATTTAAACAAAATTATTAAAAATTACAACCCAGCATTGTGATGTTACAATAAATAATTGCTTGTGCTAAAAAATCATAAAAAAATAATAATGTACTCAGATTCATGTACCAGACAAAACAAAAATATTAAAACTGTTTTAAGTTTATTTAAATTGATGAAAAATACAGAAATAAAAGCTTAATCAATTGAAATGAAATTTTTGNATTCCGGCCCACACATTTAGTTTTTGTGGAGTTTGGCTATGAACTTCACGAAATATGCTTGGGTTATTATCTGACCAATATCGACAATTGTGACGATTAACCATTGAGTTTAAAAAAAACGTGCACTCGTCGGAAAAACAAATGTTAAAAAGATAATCCACGTCAACTCTTAATCTTTCTGTCATAATTTCACAAAACCGTTGTCGCCGATCAAAATCATTTTTATTTAATTGGTGAACTAAATTAATTTTGTACGGATGAAACTTGTGAGTTTTGAGGATCCGGCAAATAGATGTTCTGCTTATGCTAGTCACAGCCTCCAGCTTCTTTATACTTAAAGTTGGGTCTGCAGCAACTTGCCCCAAAATCTCAATCTCTGTCGCTTCGTTTCTTACTGGAAGTTCACGTCTGGGAGTGCGTTTTTTGTTAGCCACAGAACCCGTAATACTGATATCTTAATTGGGATTCATGGAGCAGGATTGACTTATATGTTATTTCAACCTGATTGGGCAGTTGTTTTTGAAATATATCATTGTGACGATAAAAATTGTTACTTGGACTTGGCTCGTCTGTGAGGATTAAAATACATAACTTGGGAAAAAATGAAATTATTATATCCGGAAGATGAGGGTCATCATCCAACTTTGGGAGATCATGCAAAATTTACAAATTACGCTTTCGACGTGGAGGAATTTCTGCGTCTGGTGAACATTGCAATCGATCACGTTCAAAATCATGAGAGTTACAAATTAATACAGAAACAACCAAATCCTTCTAATAACTATAGGCATAATGAACTTTAAAAATTTTGCTTATAGGCAATGAAATTTTATTCACCATTTAAAATATTCTTATTTTAAAGTACCATATTTTACGGCATACAAGTCTGACTTCCTTTTGGTGAAGAATACGTACGAAAAAATATGTAGGTATTTATCTGTCTCCTATTGAAGGTATTCTGGGGAATTCATTAATCAATGGGAGATTGCAACTTGACATATAAGACATGGTGATTTTTGAGTATTTTTTTCTGGATAAAAGTTCCGTCTCTTATGCCATAAAATGCGGCACTATTTATTTAAATCCATATAAATTTATACAGCTTAAAACATTTTAAAAAATTTATTTAGTAAATTGAGGTCATTGTTAATATTTATACATAAAAAATATTATTATATCTATAATAGTCTGTGATATAAGAAGTGACTTATGTTAAAAATTATTTTTGTCATAAAATATTAATATAATGAGTACCTTACAGTATTGAAATATTAAAAATAAAATTACTTAAATCTCATATTGTAAAGTTATATATATATATATACAAGCATATTTTTCTCATAAATTATTTAGCATTGTTTGCTTTTTATATACAGTATGTGATAGTTCTTCCATTTCATAATGTATTTTCATATTATAAAAATAAAATCAATATTGTTTTTTCCACTATCGTTACTTTTTGCCGAAATAAATGTTTGTTTAGTTAATAAAAAATGAATAAGTTTTTAAAAATTTTGTTGTCTGTTGTATTCAGAATTGCAAAATCTTCATTGCAGAAAATGTCCCCCTTGAGATTAAAATTGACCTGTTCGAGCGATTTGCTTGGACGAACACGATAACTCCGCCGTTTTGTTTTCGTTGGGTCACCCTGTATATTACATACGTTGACATTATATGTTATAAAACTTTAGCACAGTTTTTTTTATTAAAATGCATTTCATGAAATGAATTGATGAGATATTAGTCAGATTTCTTTTCTGTAGAATAAACTTATCATTAAATATGGTGTTTCAAAATTCTAAATTGTTTCAAGAAATATGTTTATGAAAATTATTAAACCATACATGTACTAAAATAAAGTAATATGAAATTATTCAGTTCATAAAGATTTCAAGCTCTCTTGAAATCTTTTTAGAAAATGTTTTTTCTTTAAGAACATCATTTTGAATTGGATTTACACTTAAATAGCTTTTTAATAAACAAAATTATTGCACAGAGATTTTATTAATAATAGCAATTTTTCAAAATATTAACCTGTTAAAAGTTTAAATTTTCTCAAAAGCAGAGAATATATATGCTACTTACTTAAAACAAGAAGATATATGCCACACATAATATCATATAACATTGGCTGCAGCTTGTATATTTTTTCCATTTATGAAAATTAAAAATTTTGTTTAAAAAGCTTTATTCATGAACTAATTTCACTTATAATTAAGCCATTATAATTTCCTCAGTTATAATCCAGTATAAATTGCATTTCTAATGTTACAAATTACTCCATTTTATAATTGCTATTGTTACCATATCTATAGATTGTAAGACCTATTTTATACCATGTTATCTGATGTCAAAATTTAGTCTATTAAAATGTAATTTATTGCTCTATCTTTAGTTAATTTGTCAACAATAAATTTATTTATTATGTTGTAATAATTTTAAAACAAATTTTGCCAAATTTTATTTTATTTACAAATGGCAATGGCATTTGACAGTTATAATGAACATAAAAAGTTATGCCAAGTTGTCTTGAGATCATTTGTGTGTTTTTTATTAGCTAATCTTTAAAATTCAAATTTGTATAACAACAATTGCTTATTACTTTTGCTTCATATTGTATATAGGGTATAGGCAAAAACATTGCAATATTTTAAATAAAAATTAGTAAAAAGATATAATTTTAATAAATATATTTATTAAAATTGCAATATTTTCTTCTGCTAAATAGCTAAATATGAGGAGTGCACAAGAGTATATGTAACGATAGTGGGCTGTGTTAGTGACACAGTTTAAATTGCAAAGTGGTAGTGCATCTAAAAATTAGTACAAAACAATTTTTGTCTGGTTAAACTGCTCTAAGAGGAAGTAGTCACTGTCAAAAAATGAGTGGGAAAACTTGTGTGAAGCTTCTTTGCCCCAAAAAAAAGGGGTGAGAAAGGTATTAATTTGGGAGTGGTGTGTATTACTTTGTTATTTTAAGTGTCTTTTATACATTGTAGTTATAACAGTTGGCCAGCTTGTATATTACTTTACTGTGTTAATTGTGTTTCACATTGTTCTAAACATGGTTCCAATGCTTTTAATTGAATACTTAATGGATAAAGTTGTCAAAATTGTCAATTGTTAAAATTTCTTTGTATGTTTTGGAGTTGTAAATATGTGAATTTTGCAGAAAATCTGTAAAAAAGCTGAGGAGGCATTGCAAGTCCAACATATATACTATTAAAAATATTAAAAATAAATTGATATATTGAATCTAGTCTTGTGTCTGATAAAGTCTAGAAATAAAGAGGTCATTATAGAGCTCACTTATACATTTTAAACTAGACAAGAAACATATAGTACTGGTATATTAAGTTGAGAAGTGGCAAATTGGAGTCAACTACATTTTATAATTACATTTATTAAATATCCTTACAAATTACATCATTTTATTATTGATACATTGAGAAAGCAAATAAACTTGAAGTAAACTTATATAAATTTTATGAGGACAAACTTTTTTCAATAAAAAATCATTCTTGTGGATTATATGATGATAAGCTTTTTTGTCAATGAAAAGTTGCATCTGCAGATTATTGTAAATGCTCCTAGTAGATTATAGTTGGGGAATTATAGTATTGACTTAACGTTTTTGATCAATTTTATCTTAGAACATATATTTAATGTATTTAATAAAAAATATTGATAACATTATTGTGTAGCTGTATTTTTAACGTAATCTATTAAAAATGGTGGTGACAAGATTTGCCAATTTTGCTAATTTTATTTCACATTTTTTCAATATTATCCAAAATTATGTAAAATTTTTAAAGTTTGCTTCTGCTGTTGTTGTTATATTGTTAAATGAGTATACTGACTTTTATAAAATGGTTTTTATTTACTATTTAAATATTGGTTATAAGTTATATTGTAAGGTAAAATAGAATTAATGGTTGAATATTTTAATACAGGAATATAATAATAATATAAATAATAATAGCAGAAGAAAATATTATTGTAGTAATAACAGTAAGTCTTATATTAATATATCTGATTTGTGTAATTTTGTTTGATAAAATTATACACTTCAAAAAAATATATATATAAATATTTTTAATAACTCATTTTTGAACATTATTAAATGTTAATTTTATGTTAAATAGAAATGTAATTGTTTTAATCTGAATAATTTCTTTATTTCAGGTAGTCTTCCTACTCGATGATATTTCATGCATTGCAGATGACCTTTTGAGGAAAGAGTATTAAGAAAATATAAGCTCTTTCTTTATCAGAGCATCAGGCAGTGCGTTATATCTTCCTTTCCTGTTTTAGGTAAATTAATTTCTTTAGAAGGAACAAGAATGGCCGAAACAAACTCCTGTGATATTCAGAATTCATTATCTGACGAAGGTTTAGATCAAGACATAAACCTACCCCTACCCATGCATTCGTCCAATCAGTTGGATGCAGAATGGTTGGACTTTGGACATGGTGGAGGTGGGATAGATACTAGTCAGCCTGCTAGCAGTGATAGTACAGCATCTTTTGTAAAAAGAATATCATCTGACGAGGGAGAAACTGAACCACCATCTAAAAAATTACACTGTGATAAATTCTATGATAGGGATAATACAATGAACTGTGATACAAATGGGCTTGAAAGTGATACTTCAAAGAAAATGGTAGAATTTGATATTTTAGATGAAGTAGAAGGAGGTGGAATGGATGAAAATGATAATAGTAATACAGACACAGATAGTGACATTCCAGAAGAAGAAATAGAAGCAATGTTAGAAGAAGGTCTTAAAAACAGAAGATCTGATGATAACTCTAATATTGATGAAGATTTAGCTCATGAAGAAAGACAGAAAGTTGTATTGAAAGGTATGATTTATTATCATTCTGATTACAAATATTATTATTATAATATTAATAGCAACATTTACAGTTTATCTTTAAAATATAAATATTATTAAATACAGTAATTAACATATTATAGTAGTCCCTTGTTGTATTGCTCATTCAGATTTATTGTGGTTTTTTTGTTTTCCAAATATAAATGCACTTTAGACAATAATTTTTAAAAATCATCATTTATTGAATTTCTACTGGTATGTATCCAATGAGCAATATATTAGATCTGATGTATTGCTCAATGCATGATATAATGAAGGGCTACTGTATTTCATAGCTTTTTTACTGGGACAAAATATCAATTGTATTTATATAATCTAAATTAGTTCTTTTAATTGATTTTACTATGATGTTTAAATTACATATAATTAAATTTCTAATCATGTCAAAACCATTCTTGTAATTTTTGAAAGAAGATGTAATATCATATTTCATTAAATTAATTAAAAACCTACTAATGTGAGGTGGGAATAAGGACTTATCACATCAGTGATAATAAGCACAAACACCCAGGTATCAACTAACCTCTAAAAACCAATGTCGGTGCGTTTTCTCCAAAAAAACAATATCACAAACGTTTTCGAACATAAAGTTCTTCCTCAGGTGAGAAACGGACGAAAAATTGTATAAAATTCAATGGAACACTTTCTGAAAGAGCTCCGGAAAACGATTCGAAAAAACCTCGTGCTTGCCAATGTTTGCTACGCTTGGCAAGCATTTATATACAACGGATGTTAATAGAGAGATTTTTTACTTCTGAGGAAGGCGCATGTGCAACGATGTCGTCATATGCACGAGGTTTTTTTGAATCGTTTTACGGAGCTCTTTCAGAAAGTGTTCCATCGAATTTTATACAATTTTTCGTCCGTTTCTCGCCTGAGGAAGAACTTTATGTTCAAAAACGTTTGTGATATTGTATTTTTTTGGAGAAAACATGCGGACATTGGTTTTTAGAGGTTAGTTGTTATATATAGCAGTGTGCTGTTGATGTTCACCCAGGTATCAATTGAATAAATTCAATAAAACAAGAAGGGGTGTACATTAAAATCAATTAAATTAATAATTAACATGAAATAATCAAAATAACCAAAATGCATTTCGGACTATTGGAATAGTCCCTCTTCAGTTGCTATACATATATAAAAAGGTGAGATACTTAAAATTATACAAGACAAAGGAACCGTTATAAAGGTATGATCATTGAGCAATAAATGGGTGTAGAGGAGACAGGCTTAAGGTGGCTTCATAATGTTATATGGTAGCTTGACATAATGGTTACTATTATAAACAGTATTAAAATTAGTGGAATAATAAGGTAATTGTTTTGCAAAATAAGTTATATCTACATACCATAACAGTAGTAAGATGGAGTTTGAAGATAGCATTGCTACAAGATGCAGAGCAGTTATGAGGGAGGTGTGTTACAGGCAACATCTGGAGAACAAGTGGTGACAAACATCTTAATGGCCAACCTTCATTACATCACTTCTTAACCAGATGTTAGTATTAAGACTATATATTTCATCATTTAATAGATGAGGGTCTGTGCTCCCACCTCACATCAGTAGGTTTTTAATGAATTTAATTAAACCAAGGGCAAAAAGCAATTTCTTTATATTAATCATATTTCATATTGATGGTTTAACTGGTTTTATGTTAGAAGAAATACATTAATCATTTCTTTATTTTAATTTTTTTAAAATTGAAAGCTATTTTAAGATAAGACAGATGGATACTATACTTGATAGTCCATTACATGATGAAGTCTTCTGGTAGGGGTGTGAAATTATTCAACCTCTCTACGACTTCCTCACTGCTCTGGACTGTCTTCTATCTTCTTTATTTCATATTGAATATTCATCAGTTTATTATAGATGAAAACTTGCTGCTTCAAAGTTGATTTCATTTGTTTTATGGGTTAAACTATAAAACAGAAAACTAGATCCTAGTGTTTTGTGAAGAGAAGAAATTTCATAAAACATAGCATTGATTATAAATTTTGAAGTGAATGAAAATGTTAAGGAGATTAATAGACCTATTATAGGGTACGTTCATAAAGTCAAATGAGTTAAACAAGAATGACGTCATCATTATTCTTATTTCGTTAGACTTTTCGAACGATTCGTTACTAACGCATTTAACTCGTTTGACTTTACGAACGTACCCATAATTATAAATAAAAAAAGCAAACAAGAAAAATTTGGCATTTGGAGTCAAAATCAAAAACAAAATAATTTTCAAAATTAAATTTATATTATAATACAGGAAATGTATAATTAGAAGAATAAACTCAAGGATAATTATGATATAGATGCAGATGTAACTAAAAGACTGAAAATGTAATGAGAATCAGAAGAGACTTGTAAAATGTAAAAAGAATCTACATAAATAATTTTTCTGTAGCATTACTGGAAAATATTTCCTATACAGAATAAAAAATTCTTGTAAAACAAAAAAATAGTTAGTTTGAATTCTAACTTAAATTGAAACTGTATATACTAATTTAGTATTTTTATTTTAGTTGTCTTAAATATGATATAAACAAACAAAAACAATTTTTAAGAATGTCATTTTCACATTGCAATGAAATGGTCATAAAGAAAACAGTTATATATGCTTATGCTTTGGAAATGTTTGTATGAATATTAAGAAAACATCAAAAATTATATAGTGCAAAACTATAAAAATTCTGATATACAGAGTGAGTGTAAAGTATTATAGTCTTATAAAATTTTATTAAACAAAAATTATTACAGATACAATAAACAGAATGTCAGAATGTAAGGCAAGATATGAAATTTTTTTCACATACTAATAAACTTTCACATGTGCACTCCTTTGTGATCCTACTGTACTGTACATCTAACCAATATTCAACTAGTTTGCCATGCTTTTTCCAATATTTTTGCACAGATAGAAGTAATAGCATGTGTTATCTTTTTCCTTAGTGTTCCAACATCAGGTACACTTGTTGAGACATTAATAAAAGCCAAACAATTGCCAGATTAGATCAGGCTATATTACTGTTACCATTAATAATTAAATGCTAAATAATTTGGTCTAGAGATAGATATTAGGCAGCATCTCTTATTAAATGTAATAATTATAAATAAATTAACATTTATTAATTAATTTAGAAAATTCTGGGAGAAAAGAATTGACCCAGAGCAAAACTTGAACTCACAACTGCCATTTACAATTCAGAAGTGTTGCCAGTTACATTATCCAGACCTCCATCTGATCCTTCACCACCATTTTGTTAAATTATCCAGTGATTTTTCCTTATTCAGTTGAAGTGTTACAAAAATCTCCGAACATGTCCTGGTACATGCTAGCTTCTATTGTTATTCTGCAAAGGAGTAGGAAAAGGAAAAAAAACTGGAAAACTGAAAAAATTTTAATGTTTTATTTTTTGGCACAAACCAAACACAACTTTAACAGATTTGAAAAATGAAAGTTTTATAATCAGGGAAAATACTTTGTCCACCTTGTGTAATTATCAATTTGAATAGCTTTCTAAATGAAACATAGTATGTATAACAGATCAGATAGTTAGTGGATAACCAGTATGGTTATATCTGAATTAATTACATAATTAATATTTCTGGAAGTAAACATCAGTCAAGATACAGGTAGCATAACTGGCAACACATTTCAAGTTATACTTTAGGCTAATCTTTTCTTCCAGAATATTCCAAATTTAAGTTTAAAATTAAATTTATTTTCTAATTATTAAATTTGGTTATTGGTGGGCAGTTAAGCCCATCTATAACCAAATACCATATTTGTACAACAAATTATAGGCAGTTAAGCCCACCTATAACCAAATTACTTTATTTTTAATTATTAAATTAACCTTGTTAAACTGAGACTCCACTAGTGTAAAAACACTCGCCATAGTTATTTTTAGTCATGTGACCTATTTGCTTTTACACTTGGATTGAGGTGGCAATCTGGCTCCACTAGCAAAGTTTTATTATAATGGTGCTGCCACTGAGTGTTGAAAGTAAACACTTTTTTGTGCATAAATTGATGGAAACAAAGCATTGTAGTTTAGTTGTTTACGACTAATGTTAAAATTAATCAAATAACTTCACAAGCACCAGAAAGGTGAGAGTGAGAGATGAAATAGTGCGAACGTGCATAAAAGTTCATCTTTTGCAATTTTCACAAGATGACATAGAATTCCACTGACTTCTAATTGGTTGATGGTACCGTTTTATGGATATATTCCAATTGAAAGTTGAACACTGTTTGACTTGTTTTATATCCTGCTCTGGCATTATTCTCCAATAAGTTCTTTTTAACTATATACAGTAGAGCATTGATTATCTGAATATTGATCAACTGAAAGCTTTCCAATTGGCAAATTTAAATTTCTGCTAGTGCTGTGGTGCTATATTCTTTGGCTATGTCTTGGGCTCCTCCAATATTATTTTTGTTGGTGTGCGTGTTTTAGCTGGCAGCAATGGCGTGACCACAAGAGGGTATTTAAGGACGTGCCAGGATTTGAACAATTTTCAACATGGGATAGGTTAATATATTATTTCGTACATAATTGGTTATCCGAAAAATCGATTTTCTGAACAACCCGAGTTCCCAATTGATTCGGATAATCGATGCTCTACTGTAGTTCCACACTGTGGGTAATACTGTGGCATCCTTATAGTTCATATATCTGCCCAAAAGGTTACTTCTATAAATTTAAACTTTTTACAAATTCATTGCTAATGTGGTGAGTATACCAGTTTTATAATGCTAGCTTCTCACTCTGCCACTGATCCTTTGCTTTACTCCATTCTAGACAAAACAGTATTGTACAGCTTTGTCTAGAATGGAAAAAGTTGAAATTTATAGGACCTTATTTCTATTTGTTGCTAAATATGTAGTAAAAGAGAGGTTAATAACAATCTTCTCAATCATGCCACATATTTTCTAATTTCAAATAATTTCATAAATTATTAAATTTA